CATGCCTGCAGCAAGTAATTGCCTGACAAAGCCTGGCAGCGTATGGTCCCGGTGTTTGCTGGAATTCAAGCAACATCCGTTCTTTATCTTGCTGTGTGATCCTCAGGAGAGTGATATCGCTCATGGTAACCTGGTTGAAATATGGCAACTTAATTAAGGGGACAGAGGTGGCCGTTCCTACTGGGCTGTTTGCCTGTGGCTGAAAAGAAATCCTTCCCTGCAGTTAGCCAAGCGCGGGGGGGGGGCGGTAATTGGCCCTGAGCTTTTCGCGTTTGGCTAGCAGGGATCTTCCCTGATACCTGCCACGCGGTGGGGGGAGGGGTACAGCGATCATCCCAGAGAATTCATGGCCGGAGGGGGGAGAAGGGGGGTTAGTTTGGTTTCTGCAGGGATCTTCCCTGATACCTTCTACGCGGTGGGGGGAGGGATAAAGCGATCATCCCAGAAAATTGGATGGGGGGGGTGTTAGTTTGTTTTCTGCTGCTGAAGGTAACAGGAAAACCGCAGCAGTCAACGGGCTTTGCTTGGTATGTGGGAAAGGAGGGCGCAGAAGCCGAAAGACAATGGCTTACCATGGCTGCATGCAAGCTGAATTCTATTGCCCGGACCTGCGTCTGTGATCTCTAACACCAAAGCCACAGGCACTCAATACCTTGTACTGAAATCACATATGCTATGTACTGTGAATAGTGTTTTTCACCAAGAAAGAGTATAAGCATTGTTCTGTAAAATGTATCATTTTAAAAACTTCTCTCCTTTTTCTCAACCCTCCCTCCAGCAGCTGCAAATTTATCAAGCCTCGCTCCTCCGTCACGAAGGCTATCTCAGATAAGGCGGCGTAGAAAGAGGACAAGAGACGACATGTTCACTGAAATAATGGAATGCACCCGAAATCAAAGAGCTCATTTGAATGAGTGGAAGGACACTGTAACTAAATTTAGGAAAGATGCCAGTGAACGCGAGGTCCTGAGGGACGCTCGAGATGAGAGGTGGCAGGCTGCAACGCTGGGGCCGCTGCGTGAACAAACGGACATGCTCCGGCGTCTGGTGGACTTCAGGAACGGCAGCAGGATGACAGAGTGCCGCTACAGCCCCTGTATAACCTCCCTCCCCCCTCACCATGTTTCATATCCTCCTCACCCAGACATGTAAGAACGCAGGGGGGTAGGCTACGTGAACCTTCCCACTCCACCCCAGTGGACAGCCAAACCAAAAGGCTGTCATTACATTGAATTTGTTCAGTGGCCTTTTACTTCCCTCCTATCCTCCTCCCAAACCTCACCCAGATTACCTTGTTGGTTCTCTCCCTATGTTTATTACCAGTTAATAAAGAATACATGATTTTTAAATGATATTGACTTTATTTCCTTTGAAAGAAAGCTGGGGGAATGGGGAGGGTGGGTTCCTTACAGAGAATGAATGAGTCAATAAAGGGGGCGGGTTTTCATGAAGGAGAAACAAACAGAAATTTCACACTGTAGCCTGGCTAGTCATGAAACTGGTTTTCAAAGCCTCTCTGATGCACAGCGCTTCCTGGTGTGCTCTTCTAATCGCCCTGGTGTCTGGCTGTGCGTACTCAGCAGCCAGGCAATTTGCCTCAGCCTCCCACCCCGACATAAAGGTCTCCCCCTTACTTTCACATAGATTGTGGAGCACACAGCAAGCAGAAATAACAATGGGGAGATTTCTTTGGCTGAGGTCAGAGCGAGTCAATAGCGATCTCCAGCGACCTTTTAAACGGCCAAATGCACATTCTACAACCATTCTGCACTTGCTCAGTCTGTAGTTAAACAGCTGCTGACTCCTGTCCAGGCAAGCCTGTGTATGGCTTCATGAGCCATGGCATTAAGGGGTAGGCTGGGTCCCCAAGAATTGGCATTTCAACATCCCCAACGGTTATTTTCTGGTCCGGGAAGTAAGTCCCTTGCTGCAGCCCTTTAAACAGAGTAGTGTTCCTGAAGACGCGAGCATCATGAACCCTTCCCGACCAGCCCGCGTTGATGTTGGTGAAACGTCCCTTGTGATCCACAAGTGCTTGCAGCACCATTGAAAAGTACCCCTTGCGGTTTATGTACTGGCTACCCTGGTGCTCCGGTGCCAAGATAGGGATGTGGGTTCCATCTATCGTCCCACCACAGTTAGGGAATCCCATTGCAGCAAAGCCATCCACTATGACCTGCACATCTCCCAGAGTCACTAGCTTTCGTAGCAGCACCTCAGTGATTGCTTTGGCTACTTGCATGACTGCAGCCCCCACAGTAGATTTGCCCACTCCAAATTGATTCCCGACTGACCGGTAGCTGTCTGGTGTTGCAAGCTTCCACAGGGCTATCGCCACTCGCTTCTCAACTGTGAGGGCTGCTCTCATCTTCATATTCTGGCGCTTCAGGGCAGGGGAAAGCAAGTCACAAAGTTCCAAGAAAGTGCCCTTACGCATTCGAAAGGTTCGCAGCCACTGGGAATCGTCCCACACCTGCAACACTATGCGGTCCCACCAGTCTGTGCTTGTTTCCCGGGCCCAGAATCGGCGTTCCACGGCTATAACCTGCCCCATTAACAGCATGATCTCCAAAGCACCGGGTACCGCAGTTCGATAGAATTCCATGTCCATATCCTCATCACTGTCCTCGCCGCGCTGCCGTAGCCTGCTCCTCGCCGCCTGATTTTCCAGGTTCTTGTTCAGCATAAACTGCACGATAACGCGCGAGGTATTTACAATGTTCATGACTGCTGTCTTGAGCTGAGCGGGCTACATGCTTGCCATGGTATGGCGTCTGCACTGTTCACCCAGGAAAAAGGCGCGAAACGCCGTTGTTTGCCGTTGCTTCCTGGAGAGGGGGGAGGATATACCCAGAACCACCCGCAACAATGTTTTTAGCCCCATCAGGCATTGCGATCTCAACCCAGAATTCCAATGGGCGGAGGAGACTGCGGGAACTATGGGATAGCTATGGGAAAGCTACCCACAGTGCAACGCTCCGGAAATCGACACTAGCCCTGGTACATGGACGCACACCGCCGAATTAATGTGCTTAGTGTGGTTGCATACAATCGAATTTATACAATCTGTTTTCCAAATTCGAATTATATAAATTCGGATTAATCCCGTAGTGTAGACATACCCCTACAGTCCTCAGCTTAAACCTCTCCAACGCATCATCAGTGATCTACAACCCATCCTGGACAATGATCCCTCACTTTCACAGACCTTGGGAGGCAGGCCAGTCCTCATCCACAGACAACCCGCCAACCTTAAGCATATTCTCACCAGCAACCACGCACCGCACCAGAACAACTCTAACTCAGGAACCAACCCATGCCACAAACCTTGATGCCAACTCTGCATCTACATATCTACACCAGCAACACCATCACAGGACCTAACCAGATCAGCTACAACATCACCAGCTCATTCACCTGCACGTCCACCAATGTTATATATGCCATCATATGCCAGCAATGCCCCTCTGCTATGTACATTGGCCAAACTGGACAGTCACTACGCAAGAGGAGAAATGGACACAAGTCAGATATCAGGAATGGCAATATACAAAAACCTGTAGGAGAACACTTCAACCTCCCTGGCCGCACAATAGCAGATGTAAAGGTAGCCATCTTACAGCAAAAAAACTTCAGGACCAGACTCCAAAGAGAAACTGCTGAGCTTCAGTTCATCTGCAAATTTGACACCATCAGATCAGGATTAAACAAAGACTGTGAATGGCTATCCATTTACAGAAACAGTTTCTCCTCCCTTGGTGTTCACACCTCAACTGCTAGCAGAGCACCTCACTCTCCCTGATTGAAGTAACCTCGTTATCTCCACACTGATATATACCTGCCTCTGGAGATTTCCATTACTTGCATCTGAAGAAGTGAGGTTCTGACCCACGAAAGCTTATGCTCCCAGTACTTCTGTTAGTCTCAAAGGTGCCACAGGACCCTCTGTTGCCCAATACTTCTGTTAGTCTTAAAGGTGCCACAGGACCCTCTGTTGCTTTGTGCCAGACTTAACTCCCAGTTTCACTTGAGGAAACAGGAAATATTTGACACTGTGCGATACGGCTCCTCTGCTCTGTTCCCACAGTGTTCTGCAGCAGGGGAGGGTCTCCGGTAGTGTGTGTGTCACTGGCATATTGGGGTGATGCTGAAACAGGACAGAGTAGAGGTGGCATTGTGGGGCTGGCATGAACCTTATCTCTTCATTTCCCCTTCCAAGAACCGAGGGGACAGGAATCCTTACCCAGCGAGGTCACATTCTCATAGTTCTCCTGCATGACTTCCCTGTAGAGGGCTCTCTGAGTGGGGTCCAGCAGAGCCCACTCTTCCCTGGTGAAATACACAGCCACCTCCTCGAAGGTCACCAGCCCCTGAAAGAGGAAGAGTCCAACATTCGGTACCCGTTTCCCCACTCACAGCCCCACTATTCGTGGGGAGAGGAGCCAATCAAATGGAAGCTCTAGGTGGATCCCACTCAACAGAGTCGCACCCTCACCCCTTTCAGGGTATCCAGGAAACACCAGGGAGAGGGGATGAAGAGAGAGTCCTTTGTCTCTCCCAGCAGATCCATCACACACCTACTAGCCACTGTGAAGAGCTGGATATGAAGGGAGGGGAATCTCCCTTAAGCCTGACACGTGGGTGCCCCCTTCATATCTCACAGCAGCCACTGTTAGTCAGGTCGGGCTCCAGCACTATGAGTATGGTCAGTTTTCCAAGCCCCATGTAGCTGGGTTATTTTCTGCTCCACAAACTAGAGCATTTCCACCGCCGAACCTCATGGATCTGTTCCTAGAATCTAGGCCACTTATTAAATAACTGCCAGCAGGTTTAGCACACCCCTGTGCTCCTCCCTTTCTCCACCCTGTGAATTTCCTGCCATGCTCCAACCTCCAAACCAGACTGTGCAAACCTTCCCATCTCCGATGTATTTGCTGTCCCTCTCCTCCAGCAGGAACCCACCAAAAACTCCCCAATAATCTCTACCTGAGCTGTCTCCTTTGCAGCCATTTCTCTCCCCTGTTCGATGGGAGGATGGGATGAGCTGGAGCGGAATATGGATGTCATTCTGCAGACTATCTGGATGAGAAGGGCAGTTGTGGGGGTTTCAGAACAGGTTTTAGTTAATTTCACAGCAGAATTCCCCCAGGCCCTTTCCCTGCAGAGAGACATCCTAGATTCTGCCATTCTGGGAAAATGCTTGATCTCTTTATTACAGTATAGACCTGGCCCCTACTAAGCCCACAGAGAGATTTTTAACGTCCCTTCTCCCTCCCCTCATCCCATAACAAAGTCTCTGAACACAATGCTAGAAAAGAGCAGAACCAAAGGAGTGACTATGGGGGATTCCCTCGGACATCGACCCCACGGCAGCCACACCCAAGCAGGTGGAACATGGAGTCAGGAACTGGAGTTTCCTTTGTTTGATCCTTTTTTTTGTTCACTGGAAAGTGATTCTGCCTAGGGATGCGGCAATACATGTGTCTCGATGGACTAGAGAGCAGGAAAACTCTCTCCCCACTCATTTCTACCACTGCCCCTTTCAGTCTCTCCTTCCCCGTCCTCTCTCCCTGCCCCTCTGGCTGGGAAAATCCCATTCCTGGGTACTGTGCTCTTCCGTGGCTGGATTTTCTCCTGGCAATTGCTAATGGGAGGAGAAATGGGGGGGGGCTGTTTGTGCAGAGTCACTTTCTTGCCAGTCCCCAGAACTTTCCCTGAGGTACCTGGAGACTCTGGCTCAGAATTTAGTATTAACAGGGCTCAGGGCTTCCCTATGGGGCTAGTACCAATTGGAGAAAGTCATCCCCTGGGCCAGGCAGAGAAGAAGCTTTAATTAAGGTCACTTCCCAGCACAGAACTCCCACTGGGGGAGCAGCAGCTGCTAAGCCTGGTCTCCCAGATCACAATGGAGGCTGCAGCGTGTGACCCAGGAAGCTGAACCCCAATATGCTGAGCAGAGAGGGACAGAGCGTTTGAGCAGCTTCCCTCCTTTAGCTCTCTGGGGAGAGCAGCTAATGAGAGCCCCTCCTCACAGGGATCCCCTGATGCTTTACAGTGGGACCCCTCACACTGCTTGCCTAGCACTGAGGATTCTTCCCCCGCCCCACTGTGTGCACTGGGCATGACAGCGATCCCAGGAATCTGCAGGGGAAGCTCAGACAGAGTCGCTGGCACAGCACCAGGTAATTAACTCATCTCCCCCACCCCTCCCACAGGAATTTCCTCGCTGCACAGAGACAGTTCAACCCGGCCCCCCATGACCATCCCCTCCCTTCCTGACACCTCCCCCCAAACCAAAGGGGACACCCTCTGCCAGCGCCTCACTAGGAGCTTATTAATTATTATTATTATTATTATTTAATTAATGGAGATATCCCCATCTCCTAGAATTGGAAGGGACCTTGAAAGGTCATTGAGTCCAGCCTCCTGCCTTCACTAGCAGGACCAAGTACTGATTTAGCCTCAGATTCCCCAAGTGGCTCCCTCAAGGATTGAACTCACAACCTTGTGTTTAGCAGGCCAATGCTCAAACCACTGAGCTATCTCTCCCCCCCAAACTGAACTCCTGCTCCTCCCCCAGCCCTGATTTTGCCCTTTAGCCCCCTCCTAATCCTGTGTCCAACTGCTTGACCCCCCCGGCCACTCAATTTTCACCCCCTGATCAGACCCTGGCCACCCCCCTCCCCACACCTCCCTTTTGCGCACGTTGCCATCTGCAAAGTCAGCAGAATGTTATGGCTAATAAGGGCAGTGGCTTCAGCAGAGGTACTGAGCATACTCAGGACAGGGTAAGTTGCACATTCCAATTGGGAGCAATTTAATACACTACCCCCCCCGCCCCCCGCCGGGCCCCAGTCTCTACCCCCCCCCCCAATCCCAGCGGTGCCGGGGGCAGATCCTGCTGCAGCTCCACTGGGGCTGAGGCACCTCCGAGGCTTCTCCCAGGTTCCCCGGGGCAGAGAGTCACTTTCCTGCCCAGCCCCACGGCTCCCCCCCGCCTCGGGGTCTCTCACTCACCGAGGAGGCTCCGGCGGGCAGAGGGTAACCTTTGAGGCTGGTCCCAGCTGGAGAAAGCCCCCCGGCCGGGCACGGAGGGGTTAATGCCGGGGCTCTCCCCCCCCCCGACCCCGGGGGAGCAGCAGCAGCTTAGCCCGTGATCCCGGAGGCAGCAGCGTCTGGTCTGTGCCAGAGCCCCGCCGCTTGCAGCAGCTCCAGCCCCAGCCTGTGTCGGGGGGCCGGCCCCAGCGGGAGCAGGGCGCAGGCAGGGCACGGGGGGGGGTTAATGGGTCTCCCCGGCACAGACCCTCCTGCTCCGCCCGGCCCCGCAGCGCCAGGGAGCAACAGCGGGTGAGCGCTGCCTCTGCGCATGCCCAGAGCCGAGAGACACAAAACTCTTCTCCAGCACCGGGAGAGGCTCCCAGGGCCCCGCACGAGTCGGGCAGAACCGCAGGGTCCCGTGCGTTGTTCGCAGGCCAGCTCGTCCTCCCACCCCAAGCCGAACGTCACTTCCGCTCCCTGCAGAGTCAGGAACTACATCTCTCAGCCTGCTTCGGGGCGTGCTACCGCCCTCTCCAGCGCAGGTGAGCTGAAATTGCGCATGCTCCGTGCGAGTCCACGTGGGGGCGGGAGAACAAAGCTGCTGCCTCCGTGTAAACCGGGGCTCCGAGCTGAGCAGGTGCTGCTCCCCCGGGTGCGTGCGGGGGGAGCCCGGCATTAACTCCTCCATGCCCGGCCGCGGGGGCTTTCTCTAGCTGGGACCCGTCCCCTGGGCAGCCCCGGGCCGGAGACCCCCGGTGAGTGAGAGACCCCGGGGGGTGCTGGGGCTGGGCAGGAAAGTGACTCTCCGCCCCGGGGAACCTGGGAGAAGCCTCGGAGCTGCCTCAGCCCCAATGGAGCTGCAGCAGGATCTGTCCCCGGCCCCGCAGGGGGGCGCGCTCAGAGACTGGGTCCCGATGGGGTGGTGGGCGGGAGAGAAGGTCAGTGGGACGTGGGGGAGGAGGGGTATTGAACTGTCTCTGTACAGCCAGGAAATCCCCGGGGGGAGAAGTGGTTGGTGGGTGGGGTGGTTAATTGGATCCTGTCCCTGTTTGTGCCACTTGCCTCTCACCCCTTGATACAAATTTTCTCTAATTCTTCCACTTTTCTCTTTCATCAGCTCACACGTGGCTATAAAATCCGGGGAGATTCTCCCCTTTCCCCTCAAATGATCACCTCTCTCGTCTTTCCTGATTTCCCCCTGGTCTCTCCATAATTCTGATTTTTCACCTTCAATTGCATAGTTCGTAACACGTTTTCTCTGCAAGTCTCAAATATTGATGTAAAATACCCTAAACATTTGCCCCACTTCTCTCTAGTTGTCTATTTCTAATTGAATATGCCCTGAGATTTTCGCCTGTCTTTCTAATTATAAAATACAAAGAAAATCTCAGATTTACACCTTTTCTCAGATTCTTGAACACGGATATAAAATGGTGCCCATTTCTTCTGTATTCATTTAACAAATATTGATGGGAAACACTCAGATTTTACCTCATATCAACAACTGATATAAAATCCCTCTGATTTTCCGCTTTCCTCTCTATTATTTGCAAAATTGATCCAAAATCTCTCAGATTTCCAGCCTTTCTCTTGTTTCTACGTTATTATCAAATGTCAATTAAAAATCCTTTCATGTTTGGGGCTGTTCCCCATGTTTCTCAATCCCAGCAACTTCTCCTTTCTTGGAGGGAACCTGTTGCCCTGAGTCGTTCTCCATCCTGAAGGTTGCAGGGGATTAAATTGCCCAGTGATTATCTTTCCCCTCTCCTTTGAGAATCATTTCTTCCCCCCTTTATCTCTGTTAAAATCTTTGCTGATAAAAGAGACCAGCCACATATTTAATACACATCAAAGCCAGAGACCTCCCCCTGTTTGGGGATCAGTGGCCCCCACCTGGAAACAGGGGAGTTGGCTGGAACCTTTTCTTTTCTCCAGCTGGCACGGGATGAGGAGGTTGCTCTGAGTGCAGCGTGGGTCCAGAAGTATCCCAAACCGCATTACAAATGATCTCCATGAGGGGTTGATTCCCGCAGTGCTAAGATGTAGCCACATCTAGGGTGGATCCATGGTCATTATTTGCTAGTGCCAGGCCATGGACATTTCTTACCTTTCTTGCCCTCCAGGCCTTCCATTCTCCTGTTCAAGAGGCATCCCCCAGGGCTCCCTCTGCCTGTGTGACTGGCCAGCAGGGGGTGGTGATAACTTTCTATCCACTTCTCAGACACTGTGAGGTAACACTGTTGCTCTGGGGGCAAGGGATGTCTGTGTGGGGAGATTGCAGCTGGAGCTGAAGGGGCATTATGGTAGGGGGAAGTGTTTGGGTGACTGGGCAGGGGGTACCCTGATCAAGTTGGTGGGTTCTGGAAGTTTGGGGGGGTGGTTCTGATGTGCCCAGCCCTGAGGCTATGGGTCCTGGAGGTCGGTGTGGCTGGGGGCCTCTTGGCTGCAGAACAGCGGGGGTGGGCGTCTCTTGGGGAGGCGGAACGGGGTTAGAGGGAGCCTGGTGCTGTGCCAGGGGCTGTGTCTGGGCTTCCCCTGCTGGCTCCTGCGATCGTTGCCATGTCCAGTGCACAGAGCTGGCGGGGGGTGGGGAGGCGGAGCTCTGGCACTAGGTCATGGAATGCCAGGGAAGCAGAGTGAGGGGTCCCACTGGGCGGAGGAGGGGGTCCCAGACAAACAGCATGGCAGATCCTGCTGGAGGGGCGGGGGGGGGGTCCTAGGCAGGCAGTGAGGGACTGAGTTCCCAGTGGGGGGTTCCCTTGCGGGGGTCCCTGGCTGCTAGGGGCTCGTTGGTGGGGGGAACCCTTTGGGGATTCCCGAACCTGGCAGTCATGGTGTGGTGGGGATTCCCTGGCCGGCGGGGCTTTGAGAGATATCTGGGGTCCCTGGCCAGGGACTCTGGGGGCTGCGTCCCAGGGAATATCTGGTGGGACCCTGGCTGGGGGCTGTCTGGGGCCCCTGTCTGTGGGCTCTGGCAACTGCTACTAACCATGATTCTTCTTTCTGATCAACTTGTGCCAGAGTCCTGGCTCCAAGCACTGCCCGGCATTCCCCAGTCACATGCCCTGTCACTGTGATAACTTTCTATCCACTTATCAAACACTGTTACTGTGAAATCACAGGTTTTCCTTTTCTTCTCTTTTGAAAACGTCAGGAAGTTTTGGTTCCATTTGGAAAATTTGTGCCCCCCGGTCCTTGTTCTCGATCTGGGGGGATAAGGGAGGTGGGAAGGGGGTTAGCACTGTCACACGATGGTCTCTTCCACAGCATTCTTGACTCGTTCTTTCTGAAATCTTGTTTCATTGAGACGAAGGTTAATCAAGAGTGACTGCATGGAAAGAGGAGGAGTGACTCCAGATGGACAGTGGGGCAAATGAGATCAGCAATTCTCCCTGTGAGGTGGGGCTCTCATTAGCTGCTCTCCCCAGAGAGCTAAAGGAGGGAACCTGCTCAAACGCTCTGTCCCTTTCTGCTCAGGATATTGGGGTTCAGCTTCCTGGGTCACACACTGCAGCCTTCATTGTGATCTGGGAGACCAGGCTTAGCAGCTGCTGCTCCCCCAATGGGGGTTCTGTGCTGGGAAATGACCTTAATTAAAGCTTCTTCTCTGCCCAGCCCAGGTGATAACTTTCTCCAATTGGTACTAGCCCCATAGGGCAGCCCTGAGCCCTGTTAATACTAAATTCGGAGCCAAACATTCCAAGTAACTGAAAGAAAGGAAGGGAAAATGCTGGGGGTCTGGCCTTAAAATGACTCTACACAAACAGACCCCCCTTCATTTCTCATCGCACTAGCAATTACAGAAGCAAATCCAGCCATGGGGGAGCAAACTACCTAGGAATTGGACTTTCCTACCAGACGGGCAGGGAGAGAGGACAGGGAAAAAGAGAGAGAAGGAGAAAGAGAGACTGAAAGGGGCTGTGGGAGAGAAGAGTTTTGACTGAGATTTCCAGATCTCTAATCTGCCCAGACTGATGTATTACTGCACCCTGGATAGAGTCACTTTCCTGTGGAGAAAATGAGAATCAGACAGAGGAAAATCCAGTTCCTGACTCCATATCCCTCCTGCTGGGGTGTGGCTGCCATGGGGTCAGTTTCTGAGGGAATCCCCCACAGTGAATCCTTTCGTTCTCCTCTTTTCTAGCATTGGGTTCAAAGACTTTGTTATGGGATGGGGGGAGGGAGAAGGGAGGATAAAAATGTCTCTTTTGGCTTAGCCTAGCAGGAGGGGCTAGGTCTACATTGTATAAAGAGATCAAGCCTTTTCTCAGCATGGCAGACTCTAGGGTGTCTGTCTGCAGGGGAAAAGCCTGGGGGAATCATGCTTTAATTAATTTCACAGTCTGTTTTGAAACCTCCACAACTGCCTTCTCACCCTGCCAGGCTGCAGAATGATGTCCATGTTTCACTCCAGTTCATCCCAGCCTCCCATGGGACAGGGGAGAGAAATGGCTGCAGAGGGGTCAGTCCAGGTAGGTATTATCAGGGGGTTGCTGATGGGTTCCTGCAGGAGGGAGAGGGGCAGCAAATACACCAGAGATGGGAAGGTTTTCACAGTTTGGTTTGGAAGTTGGAGTGGGGCAGGAAATGCTGTCCTCCTCCATTTCTCCACCCTGTGCATCTGGCAAACCTGCTGGGAGTTGTTTAGCTACATGGGGCTAGAAAAGCTGACCAGACTTGTAGTACTGAAGGCTGATCTGACTAACCAGTGGCTGATGTGAGATATGAAGGGGGCACCCACCAGTCTGGCTTAGGGGAGATTCCCCTCCCTTCATATCCAGCTCTTCAGAATGGGGCGGGTGTTGGGCTCCCTAACAGGGAGCTCTTCCTGGACCCTGCTAGTGGCTCCATCTCCTTTATCAGTCTGTGGCTAGTAGGTGTGTGATTGATCTGCTGGGAGAGCAGAGGGGCTCTCTCTTGGTTCCCTCACCCTGGTGTTTCCTGGATGCTCTGAGCAGGGTGGGAGTGGGACTCTGACTGCAATTCACCCAGGGCTTCCCTTTGATGGGTTCCTCTCCCTCACAAACACTCAGACTGTGAATGGGGCAGCAGGGTACTGAGTGTTGGACTCTTGGTCTTTCAGGGGCCGGTAACCTTCGAGGAGGTGGCTGTGTATTTCACCAGGGAAGAATGGGCTCTGCTGGACCCCACTCAGAGAGCCCTCTATTGGGATGTCATGCAGGAGAACTATGAGAAAGTGACCTTGCTGGGTAAGGATTCCCGTCCCCTCGGTTCTTGGAAGGGGAAAAGAAGAGATAAGGTTCAAGCCAGCCCCACAATGCCACCTCTACTCTGCCCAGTTTCAACATCACCCCAATATGCCAGTGACACACACACTACCAGAGACCCTCCCCTGCTGCAGAACACTTTGGGAACAGAGCACAGGAGCAGTATCGTGCACTGTCAAATGTCTCCTGTTTGCTCAAGTAAAACTGAGCGTTAGGTGCAGCATAATCAACAGAAGCTTCCTACCCCTGACCTCTTAAACCCTGAGCCTTCTCCACCCAAACCTGAATGTGCTTGGGGTGTAACGAGCAGGCTGCTGGAGTCAGAGCTGCTGGTCTAGGCTTGAGTATCACACAGACGCTCCGTGTGTCCTTGAATGCTGGCTTGGGGCATCCAGAGAAGGAAGCTCAGTGGCGGTTTTAGCGTTAGTGGGGCCCTGTGCTCAGCTGCATTTTTGGGGCTCCTCCTTGGGACCCAGCCAAAAAAAAGAACATTCTCTCACCCTGATTTTTCATTCTTTTTTTTCTTCCTCCTCCTCCTATAAGTAATAGGAAGTAAATGAAAATAAAGTGAGGTACCTTGATTGTTCTTGTAGTCCAACTGATTTTTCCACAGACCAGTTGAAAATCGCTGAGGGTCTCGGTGCACCACTTAAGGATCTTTCCAGATATTGTTTGTACCATTAGCTAACTATTGTAAAGCACTTTGGATAAGAGCCCTTTATAAAAAAAAATGTAAAAAACATTGGGGTGCGTGGACTGGCCAGGATTTAGGGTGTGTGAGGGGGCTGGGGGTGCAGGGTCTAGGAGCGAATTCGGGTGCAGGAGCAGACTGGAGATTGGTGTCCAGGGTCTGTCCAGGAGTTAGGATGTGGGAGGGGGCTCAGGGCTGAGGCAGGGGGTTGGGGTGTGGAGCACTTACCTGGGGCAGCTCCCGTTTCATGCGAGGAATGTAGGTGGAGTTGTGGGAGGGCAGGAGGCTGTGTGTAGGGGGGTGCAGGAGTCAGGACTGGGTGTGTGTGAGGGGGTACAGAAGTCAGAGGGGACTGGGGGTATATGAGTGGGGTGCAGGAGTCAGGGGGCTGGAGGTGTGAGGGGGTGCAGGAGTTGGGGCTGGGTCTGTGTGGGGGGGAGGGGTTATGGGTGGTTGCAGGAATCAGGGAGGGCAGGGAACTGGCGTGTGTTTCAGGGGGTGAAGGAATAAGGGCTGGGGGGCGAGGGGGTGCAGGAGTCAGAATGGGCTGGGGATGTGTGAGGGGTGCAGGAGTCAGACGTGTGGGGGCAGGAGGTATGGGGGGGTTGCGGGAATCAGGGAGGGCAGGGGACTGGGGTGTGTGTGAGAGGAGTTAAGGAGTCATGGCTGGGGGTATGTGAGGGGGTGCAGGAGGCCAGGGTGTTCAAGGTGCAGGGTCAGGGCTGGGAGTGCAGGGTCTGGGAGGGAGTTAGGGTGCAGGAGCAGGTTGGAGACTGGGGTGCAGGGTCTGGCCACGTTTTAGGATGCAGGAGGGGGCTCAGGGTTGGGGCAGGAGGTTGGGGTGTGGAGTACTTACCTGGGTCATCTCCCATTTGGTGCAAGAGGTGCAGATGGCAATGTGGGAGGAGGTGCAGTAGTTCCCATTTGGTGTTCAGGGTTGGGGTGAGGATGGGGGTGGGGTCAGGTCCAGGAATCAGGGCATGGGGTGCGAGGGCTGGGTATGTGTGGGGAGAGCAGGGGGCTGGCTGGGGGTGTGTGTGTGTGGGGTGCAGGAGTCCAGTCTGAGGACTGGGGGTGTGGGCTGGGGTCGTGGGGGTGCTCCCAGCACCCTACCCTGAGTGGATCACAACAGGGGCTGGGGGTGAGGGGGGTTATGTCATACGGGAGTCCTTAGTAAAGCAGTGAGCAAGCGACCAGGGAGCTTTGCGACCAGGGCTGCTAACAGGGAGTTTCGTGAGGGAGTTTGGAAGGGGAGTGGGAAGGGGGCAAGGTACTCTTGCCATTCTTTAAAACATTTAAGCTATAATACAAACATCTTGATTTAAACAAAACCCCTATTGTTAACCTAGGTAGCTGTAAGAGAGAATGCAGGCAGAAGCCCAGCAGTACAGTGGGGGCTATCCTGTTTATTGCACTCAATGTAGCATGTATGATTACCTGCCCTGTGGGTGGGTGGCGTATGTGTGCGTTCGGTGCAAGGAGCTCCTGGCCCTCAGAGACAGCGTGGAGCCTTTGGAGGCCAGGGTGGTGGAACTGGAGACGCTAAGGGAGGCAGAGAAATACGCTGATGAGGCTTTCCGGGACACTGTAGATTTCTCCCACCTCCGGTCAGACAGCCCTTGCGCTCTTGAGGAGGATGAAAGGCCCAGGGAAGCAGAGCAGTCAACGGGAGCAGAGGGAAACCTTCCCGTAGTTGGGACCCTCTTTCCAGATGCTGTTGGGGTAACCGCTTGCTCTGATGTTACCTCGCCGGGGGGAGGGAACTCCAGTCATTAAGAAAAGGCAGCTGTTAGTAATGGGAGATTTGATCATTAGAAACAAGGATAGCTGGGTTTGTGAAGACCGGGAGAACCGTATGGTGACTTGCCTGCCTGGTGCAAAGATTGCGGATCTCTCGAGGCATCTAGACAGACTTATGTATAGTGCTGGGGAGGAGCCGGTGGTCGTGGTACATATAGGTACCAATGACATAAGGAAGGGTAGGCAAGATGTCCTGGAGGCCAAATTTAGGCTGCTAGGAAAGAGACTGAAATCCAGGACCTCTATGGTGGCATTCTCAGAAATGCTTCCAGTTCCATGTGCAGGGCCAGGTATGCAGGCAGAGCTTCAGAGTCTCAATGAGTGGATGAGATGATGGTGTAGAGAGGAGGGGTTTAGATTTATTAGGAACTGGGGAAACTTTGGGGATGGGGGGGAGCCTATACGGGAGTGATGGGCTCCACCTAAACCAAAGTGGAACCAGACTGCTGGCACTTAACATTAAAAAGGTTGCAGAGCAGTTTTTAAACTAAGAGATGGGAGAAAGCCGATGGCTGTAGAGGAGCAGGTGGATTGGACAGAGACTTCTCTTAGAGGAGAGTCTAGTGATAGAGATTTTATACTTTTAGTCAGGAAGAGAGGCTGGAAGAGGATAAAGTAGGGGCCAGATCAGAGGAGAAGCATTCACACACAAAAGAATCTGACACATCAGAAAAAGGCAGACAAATAAACAGTGATAAGTTTTTAAAGTGCTTGTACACAAATGCTAGAAGTCTAAATAATAAGATGTGTGAATTAAAGTGCCTCGTGTTAAAAGAGGATATTGATATAATAGGCATCACAGAAACCTGGTGGAGTGAGGATAGTCAATAGGACACAATCATTCCAGGGTACAAAATATATTGGAAGGACAGAGCAGGTCGTACTTTTTGGGGGGGCGGAGGGGGAATGGCACTGTATATTAAAGAAAATGTAGACTCAAATGATGTAAAAATCTTAAATGAAACTGCATGTTCCATAGAGACTCTATGGATAGTAATTCCATTCTCTAATGAGAATAGAATAATAGGGATTGATTATCGACCACCTGTCAAAGACAGTGATCGTGACGATGAAATGCTAAGGGAGATTAGAGAGGCTATCAAAATAAAGAACTCCATAATAGTGGGGGATTTCAATTATCCCCATATTGACATGTCACCTCAGGACAAAATGCAGAGACAAAATTTGTTGATACCTTAAATGACTGCTTCTTGGAGCAGCTGGTACAAGAACCCGCAAGGGGAGAAGCAACTCTCGATTTAGTCCTAAGTGGAGCGCAGGAGCTGGTCCAAGAGGTAACTATAACAGGACGGCTTGGAATTAGTGACCATAATATAACAACATTTAAAATCCCTGTGGTGGGAAGAACACCTCAACAGCTCAACACTGTGACATTTAATTTCAGAAAGGGGAACTATGCAAAAATGAGGGGGTTAGTTAAACAGAAATTCAAAGGTACAATGACTAGAGTGAAATCCCTGCAAGCTGCATGGACACTTTTCAAAAACACAATATTAGAGGCCCAACTTCAATGTATACCCCAAATTAAAAAAACACAGCAGAAGAACTAAAAAAGAGCCACTCTGGCTTGGCTTAACCATGTAAAAGAAGCAGTGAGAGATTAAAAGGCATCTTTTAAAAAGTGGAAGTCAAATCCTAGTGAGGTATATAGAAGGGAGCATAAGCACTGCCAAATTAAGTGTAAAAATGTAATAAGAAAAGCCAAAAAGGAGTTTGAGGAACAGCTAGCCAAAAATTCAGAAGGTAACCACAAAATGTTTAAGTACATCAGAAGCAGGAAGCCTGCTAAACAACCAGTGGGGCCCCTGAACGATCGAGATACAAAAGGAATGCTTAAAGACGATGAAGTCATTGCAGAGAAACTAAATGCATTCTTTGCTTCAGTCTTCATGGCTGAGGATATTAGGGAGATTCCCAAACCTTTTGTGGGTGACAAGTCTGAGGAACTGGCACAAATTGAAGTGTCACTAGAGGAAGATCTTGGAGTCATTGTGGATAGTTCTCTGAAGACATCCACGCAATGTGCAGCAGAGGTCAAAAAAGCAAGCAGGATGTTAGGAATTATTTAAAAAGGGATAGACAATAATACAGAGAATATCTTATTGCCCTTATATAAATCAATGCAAACAACTAATTTAGACCCCTTCATTTTATATGTATATTTGGGATTATGTTTTCCAATGGGCTGCAGTATGTGCTATCCTGACATTTAGTACTGCTGAGATCCTGCATTCAGTAATATCCCTGCCCTTCCTGTTCCCTTTCTCCACTGAACCCCACCAGCCCATGCTTACTGTTTCCAGCTTCCCCAGGACTCACTCTCTGTCACTGGACCTGTCTGTCAGCAAGAAGCAATGCCAGGGAGACTTGCCCTCTCTCTGGAGACTTCGATTTCTGGAAAAACAACAAGGAGTCTGGTGGCACCTGTCAAAGTTAGAATCAGGACTCACAATTTTGTCAAGACCACTCTGTTTATTAGCACAGCGCTCTGCTAATTCAATCAGATAATGTGAGCCTCCATGCAAGATTCAAACAGTCTTATTTATACAGATAAAAGGATGCAAACTAAACAAAAGGACAGAGAGCAAAATTGTAAAATATGCATGGAGCACAATATGCATATCCTGCTTCCTTGTTAACTCTTATCGATCTAAGACTAATGCTTCACCAATTGCCCTTAAGTGGCAAGTTAAGCAGTTAATGTCTGCTTTCCTGCACACCTGGCTTACAGCATTTCTCATTTCTACTTAAAGTTACATACAGCATTCTTTAATTCATTCTATTTCTTTAGTATAATTCATTTCACTTTCACACACCTTAAAGACTAACAGATTTATTTGGGCATAAGCTTTCGTGGGTAAAAACCTCACTTCTTCAGATGCAGAGAGTGAAAGTTACAGATGCAGGCATTATATACTGACATATGGAGTGCAGGGAGTTTCTTCGCAAGTGGAGAACCAGTGTTGACAGGGCCAATTCAATCAGGGTGGATGTAGTCCACTCCCAATAATAGATGAGGAGGTGTCAATTCCAGGAGTGGAAAAGCTGCTTCTGTAATGAGCCAGCCAGTCCCTATTCAAGCCCAGATTAATGGTGTTAAATTCGATTTCTGGGACGTGGATTTTGTTTCTTGGTGTTTTAGAGCCTCTTTGAAATTTAATGTCACAGACACTCACCACAGTGCAATCTGGACTGTTGAACAGCTGTGTCCCCTCAGTTCCCCAGGCTGGGGTGCCTTTTACACTGCTTTACTGCGAGAGCAGCCACTCCTGGGCAGGTAACACACAGTCTGCAGCATGTAACTCACTCTCAGCTACACAGTTTTGAGTGCTGCTAGTCAGCGACTCATGAATTGCAGTACACCACAGGAGAACTGCAGAAAATTCTCTGGTCCCAGACTTTCCGCCAGAAATGTGCATCTTGCCCTGTCCAGAACACTACTGAACAATGCAAGCTCATATGAAGTCTGTTATTTCATCAGTGGAAAATGATATGCTCCAGCCTTGTTATCCCAAATGGAGTTTCCAATACACTTTAATCCAAACATACTGAAGGGGAGGGGAGAGATCTCCCTTTTGTAACACCTAGCCAGCCAGTTTGCTGTAAAATCCCTGTTGGTGTGAGTTCTCTGCTTGCTTTACCTGTAAAGGATTAACAAGCCACAGGTAAAAGAAAAGGAGTGGGCACCTGACCAAAAGAGCCAATGGAAAGGCTAAACTTTTTTAAATGGGAAAGTAACTTTCCCTTTGTCTGTCCTTCTCCTTAGAAGGAGACATGGAGTAGCAATGCTGTGCATGGCTTGAACCAGATATGAAAATTAATCTTCCCTACCTGGAATAAATTATTTGAATAGGGAATGTTTAGACAGACACAATCAGGTTTATTTTTTATTTTGGCTTTTGGATCTCCTCTGTGCTATCCTAGATGCTTTTGTTTGCTTGTAAGCTTTAAGCTGAACCCCCAAGAAAGCTATTTGGGGTGCTTACAAAAATTAATTTTCTTTTAAGAGCTAGCAAAAGCCTAAGTTCCAGATGTATTCCTTTCCTTTTTAATTTTAATAAAATTTATCTCTTTTAAGAATGGGATTGGATTTTTGGTGTCCTAAGAGGTTTTTTCATGTTGTTTGATTATCTGGTAGCCACAGCTAATTTCCTTTGTTTTCTTTCTCCCCTCTTTTCTGGAGGGGAGATGAAAGGGGTTGAGGGTGCCCCAGAGGGGGTTTTTTGCATTTGGGTCGTGGCAACATTTACCAAGCCAAGGTCAGAGAAAAGCTGAAACCTTGGAGGTTTACTACAAGCCTAGAGTGGCACAAATTAATTTTAGAATCCTTGCGGGCCCCCACTTTCTGCACTTAGAGTGATAGAGTGGGGATTCAGCCCTGACACATACTATGTACAAAATTGATCATTATTTTGTAGAAGAGTGAACATAGGGGTACAGACTTGCACAGTGTCTGTGTTTTCCCAACATATATGTGGGTATTTCAATCCCTCACAAGCAAGGTGTTTGGCATCTTCAAAGACCAGGGGAGCCTGTCCTGGGAATTCACTGGTTTATTAAGTGACTCTGTATGGAATTGAGAGACACTTTATATTATTATTATTTTATTATGAATACCAATATGATAAAATTGCAATGAATTCTGCTAGTGTGACAATGAGGTTCTGGCGGAACCCAACTGAGAATGCCAACTCAGGACAAATTGCTCAAACAGGGCAGTTACAGCCCAAGGCTGGGTTTTTTCCACCTCTAAGGCAAACCAAACCAGCCAGACTAAGAGGACTTCGGTCTCACCCCACTGGCTAACCGCAAGTCTCACAAGCAATCTCTTTAGACACTCCAGTTTCTCAGTATTACCACCAGTGCCACTTGTTATGGGGACAGATGGTTATGAAAACCAATACCCCAGTAAAAGAAAAAGGTTCTCCTGATCCCAAAGGACCGAGCCCCAGACCCAGGTCAATATACAAATCAGATCTTACCCACAAATCACGCTGTTGCCAATCCTTTAGAATCTAAAATCTAAAGGTTTATTCATAAAAGGAAAAAGATAGAGATGAGAGTTAGAATCGGTTAAATGGAATCAATTACATACAGTAATGGCAAAGTTCTTGGTTCAGGCTTGCAGCAGCGATAGAATAAACTGCAGATTCAAATCAAGTCTCTAGAATACATCCCCCCGCTGGGATGGATCCTCAGTCCTTTCTTCAAAGCTTCAGCTTGTAGCAAAGTTCCTCCAGAGGTATGAAGCAGGATTGAAGACCAGATGGAGATGAGGCATCAGCCTTATATAGTCTTTTCCAGGTGTAAGAACACCTCTTTGTTCTTACTGTGGAAAATTACAGCAAAATGGAGTCTGGAGTCACATGGGCAAGTTCCTGCATACTTTGCTGAGTCTCAAGGCATATTTGCCTTCTCTCAATGGGTCCATTGTATAGCTGATGGTCCTTAATGGGCCATCAAGCAGGTTAGGCAGAGCTAACACCAGTTTGTCTGGGATGTCACCCAGCAGCATAGCATAAGTTTGAAATACAGACAGTATAGAGCCAATATTAATAACTTCAACTACAAAAGTGATACACACATATAGACAGCATAATCCTAACCAGTAAACCATAATCTTGTCTTAGACACCCCATTTGACCCCCTTTATACAAGATTTGCGTGCCACTACAGGACCTCGGTTGCAACAATGATCTATATGGTCCCAGATTATATCAATAACGTCACACAGGCATGGTGAAGTTCAAGTTCCGCATGATCTCCCTAGCCTCCATCATCCCCTCCCTGGGATCCCGTGATATGAATGGCAGAAGAAGAGCGTGAAGAGCAATAAGTTACAGTTCATATTT